TTGGCTGTGAGTATGATGAGATAGAAAACGAATTCAGGCAAGCTTGAAGCTCCCTCAGGATCCAAAAACCAACCGGGTAGGTGAGATGTATTTGTATGATCAAAGAGTAAGGGCAGGGGAATCTGGAGAAGAATGGAGAGTGCGCGTGTCCAGATAGTCTGCTGGAAAGGTGGCATCCAATATGGTCTGTTTAATCAAGCCAGGTGGAAGTACTTGAAAGACTGGGGAGATTAAGTGAAGTCCATAAGAGACAGACTCCTAGCAATGAAAGTATGGGAGAAGATGAGTACTTTTTCTACTCCTGCAATACACATCCTAAAAAATAATATTCTAATGTCATGGGTGGAAAAAAAGGAAAAAAAAAAAAAAAAAAAAAAAAAAAAAGCATTGCATTAGAAGTGTTCCATCATTTCAGATGATTGTAGTGTGCTGATCAAGATAAAGAAAGAAGCCTATATCTGCTGAAGGGTCTAATCAAATTCCTCAGCACATCCTGGAAAACATCCATGACATCACTTTCCTAATGGCTTCCTTGAGCTCCTGGTTCCTCATGCTGTAGATGAGGGGGTTCAATACTTGAGGCAGCACTGAGTATAGAACTGCCACTGCCAGGTTCAGGGATAGGGAGGAGATGGAGGTGGGCTTCAGGTAGAAAAAGATGCCAGTGCTGATAAACAGGGAGACCACGAACAGGTGAGGGAGGCATGTGGAAAAGGCTTTGTGTCGGCCCCGCTCAGAGGGCATCCTCAGCACGGCCCTGAAGATCTGCACATAGGACAGCACAACGTAAACAAAACACCCCAAAAACACAAAAACACTAAATGTGAGAAGACAAATTTCTCTGAGGTAGGAATTTGAGCAGGAGAGCTTTAAGGATCTGAGGAACTTCACAGAAAAATTGGTCAATAGCACTGCCTCTGTAGAATGGCAGTGAAAATGTGTTGGCAGTGTGCAGCACAGCATAGAGAACCCCACTGCTCCAGGCAGCTGCTGCCATCTGGGCACATGCTCCGCTGTTCAGGAGGGTCCCGTAGTGCAGAGGGTTACAGATGGCAACATAGAGGTCATAGGACATGATGGTGAGAAGACAATATTCTACTGAAAACAAAAAGAAGAAAAAAAGGGCGAGGTTGAGAAGGAAGAAGTACATGGGGGTGTGGAGGCGGTGGTTGCAGGCTACAGCGGTGAGGATGAGGCTGCAAACTGCTCAGAGAAGCTCGTACAGAAAGTCGCTGGAAATAGGTGCACTGGAGCTGGAGAGAAGCTTGAGCTGAGAGAAGCGGACCCATGCACACAACTGCCTCTCGCTGGTAAGCAGTTGCGCATTATGGTGAATCATACGTTCTTAGGAACAAAGACTGTCCTGGTAACCGTACAGCTTATTCTCCTTATTAACAATTGGACAGTTTATGAGCCTGAAATATGGAACCAAATTGAGGTCAAGGTGTGGGACTCTGCAACTAAAACCAACAAGGTTACAGTGGGGTTGCTCGGCACCTAGCAAGCAATCTCTGAGGCCTTAAAGAGCACTGTGGGACCACAGTCAGAAGCATGTGGTTTGCCAGAGAGTGAAGGAGCTGCGGGCTCCTTTACTGATCCGACTGCTACGCCATGGGCCCCTCTGCTGCTACAGCCATCGAAGGCTTTTGCTGTTACACCCCCTGCTGACCTGGACGTGCCTTTTAACTCAGGCATCATTGGCCTTGAAAAGGAGATAGATATGCTTTTCTTCGATCTGGGAAGAACGGGATACATAAGGCCTGAAGACTGAGTTGCTTGACAACTTAAAGCGAGACATATTGTTCAAAAGGAATGGAAAATGGAGACTTGTTAGTAATCAAGAAAAGGAATGGAAAATGGAGACTGTTAAGTCATGGAACTTAAAGGATTGTTTGTTACTTTTTCTGATTGTACGTATATATAGGCATACTCGGGTTTAGTATGTAAAGCAATGTTCTGTATATTTAGAATGTTTGATGTTTGTGTGTGCATGTTGGTGGAGTGTAGACTCCCCGCACACCCAGCGTTGTTTACTTGCCTTTTATACCTTTTAGAAATATTTGTTTTATAAATATTACAAAATTCAGATTGAGTTGAGACCTCATTTATAACACTTGCCCAGGACTGCTCATGCCACCCCTCATTCCTGGAACAGAGAAAATCTGTGATGTGTCAACCTCTCCTGCCTGTTAGAGCTGAAAAAAAAAAAAAAAGAAAGAAAAAGAAAAAAAAAAAAAAGCTAAATTTCCTCCAATTGTACCTGTACTATCTGCCTTTCCTGGTGAAAATATTCACATTTTCTGTCTGTATAGTGAAATATATATGTATAGCCCCAGCTGTAACTACAGCTATATGTGCAAGTAAAGGTAAATGTATATACAGAGTTAGATGTGTACACATGGATAACTGGGAGAGAGACAGGCAAGTGTCTGGGATTCGAGAATTTTACATCACCTGAACTATCAGGAAACCAACCCAGAAGTGCTGGGAGCTGAGGAGAGGGGACATGTGGAGGAAGGTCCCAGTGACACGGCTGGGAGGTGGGTTGTGATGCCATTCCTACTGCAGTGACCTGACTGCCTGGTGGCAGGCAGGCAGACATGGCGATGTCATCGAGTGCATCACAAACCCCACGGGACACAAGGGGCAGCTCAGGCAGCTCTTCACCCTGGTGTAGTGGGTTTATGTGGCAAGGTTTTGGTAGCAGGGGGCCATAGGGGTGGTTTCTGTGAGAAGGATCTGGAAGCTGCCCCATGTTTGGTAAGGGCCCCACTGCTGACCAGAGCCGAGCCAATAAGTGATGTTGTTTTGCACATCTGTGAGAACATATATAAGACAGGGAAAAAAAAAAACGCTGCGCCACACAGCAGCTGGGAGAGTGAGAGGAGTGAAGAACGGCCTTGCAGGGGCCAAGGTCAGTGCAGAAGGACGGGGAGAGGTGCTCCAGGCACCAGAGCAGAAGTCCCCTGTGGCCTGTGGTGAGGACCATGGTGAAGCAGAATGTCCCCCTGCAGCCCATGGAGTACCACGGTGGAGCAGGGTTCCACGCTGCAGCCCGTGGAGGAGACCACAGTGGAGTAGGGGGCCCTGCACCGACAGAGGCTGCTGCCTTTGGAAGACCCCTGCTGGAGCAGATTCCGGGCCAGACCTGTAGCCCGTGGAGAGGAGACCACGCAGGAGCAGGTGACCCGGCAGGAGCTGCTGCCCGTGGGGGAGCCAGGTTGGAGCAGTTTTCTCCTGAGGGATGGACCCTGTGGTACGGACCCATATCTGGAGCAGTTGTGGAAGAGCTGCTGCCTGTGGGAAGCCCACACTGGATCAGTTCATCAAGGACTGCATCCCGTGGGTGGGACCCCACAGCACAGGGGACGAGAGTGACCAAGAAGGAGCGGCAGAGAAGAAGTGCTGTAGACTGACCATAACCCCCATTCCCCCGTTCCCCTGTGCCACTCGGGGAGAGGAGGTGGAAGAGGGTGGATGGGGGGGGAAGGTGCTTTTGGTTTCTTTTCTTTATTTCTCACTTCTCTAGCTTGTTAGTAATAAGCAATAAGTCTTAAATAAATTTTACTATCTCCCTATGCCGAGTCTGTTTTTCCTGTTACAATAATTACTGCATGATCTTCTTGTCCTTATCTCAACCTTAGAGCCCTTTTCATCGTATTTTCTCCCCATTCCTCTTTGAGGAGGGGGAGTGAGAGAGCGGCTGTGGTGGAGCTCATCTGCGCACTCGAGCGGAACCATGACAAAGGGTTGCTCTTTCTGTGATCATAGCTTCACTCCAGTCCTTCAAGTATACATGAGCTGAGAAGCCTTGTCCAGTGGTGACTTTTGAGGTAAGGACCAACCTACAGCTTGGGGGAAACTGTCTCAAGGATGTATGCTGGCCATAGGAACTGAAGGACAGAAGCAAACAGACGTCACTGCACAGGGTGGGAAGTAGACCCAGCTGGACTGCTGCCAAACACTCTCACTGGGTTCCATGGTTGTAGCAGGTGCTCGGAAAGACTAGGGAACATTTCAAGGACACTAGAGGTTTCAAGCTGTCTTTCTAGATCCACCCAATGGTAATACCTCAGAGATGACAGCAATTCCTCTCCATACTCCCCATCTTGTGTGTGATGGTGTCCTGGTTTCAGTTAGGACAGAATTAATTTTCTTCCTAGTAGCTGGTAGAATGCTATGTTTTGGCTTAGGATGAGAAGAATGCTGATAACACCCCGATGTTTTAATTGTTGCAGAGCAGTGCTTATACTAAGCCAAGGACATCTCAGCTTCTTGCTCTGTCCTGCCAACAGGCAGGCTGGGGGTGCAGTAAGAGCTGGGAGGGGACAGACCCAGGACAGGTGACCCAAACTAGCCAAAGGGGTATTCCATACCATCTGACGTCATGCTAAACAATATATAGGGGTAGCTAGCTGGGGGAGGGGAGCCGGACTGCTCAGGGTTAGGCTGGGCATCAGTCAGCAGGTGGTGCGCAATTGCATTGTGCATCACTTCTTTGTACACATTAGTAGTAGTAGTACTACTATCATCGTTATTATTATTGATATTATTATTATTTTCCTGTCTTATTAAACTGTCTTTATCTCATCTCATGGGCTTTACTTTCCCGTTTCTCTCCCCCATCCCAGAGAGAGAGGGGGGAGGGTGAGCAAACGGCTGTGTGGTGTTCAGCTGCCGGCCGGGTTAAACCACGACAGATGGTCCCCCACTGAATACCCCAGGCATTGCAGTGTCCTTGTGTGCACGTGGACATCTATATTTGGCATTCTCCCTATGGTGACTTCATCTTGGGTGAAGTGATCTCTCACTTTGTGGGGCTCCAGTCACTGACCACCCCAGACACATGATACTCAGGGAGAACACCTAGGCTCTTCAGGCAGCTCCCCATTAATTTCCTGGAGGATGTCCTCTGCCCTGACACTTGTGGGACAGTCATGGTTATATACCTCAGTGACTGTTAACCATTTCTGCTGTCATCAGACACCAACAGGTTACTCCTAAATCCTACCCTTGGTCTCTCACAACTCACAAAATGAGCTTTTTCTTTCCCTTATCCATAGAGCAACAGGCTTTTCAGGGAGCAGGTGCTCAGCCCTGGTCTTGGCACCAGCTTTGAAAGAAGAACCACGTCTTCAAGAAGTGGGAGATACAATTTTATTAGGCAGATCCTATCACAGAGTTTGTTCTGGCCTGCTGTTATACACATATTATAAAGCCTCAGTAGTAAACAGAACGGTTTCATTCCTCAGTAGATAGCCGATGAATAAAGAAACATATTGCTAATAAATTAGTAAATGCAAATGATACTGAGGATAACAATTTCAATAATGAGCAGGCCTGCAAGGGAAGTCATTTGTGTAGATACAGGGGAAATTTATCACCAATCAGAAATATCCATGAAAACACTTTCCGAACAGCACTCTTAAGCTCCTTGTTTCTCATGCTGTAGATGAGGGGGTTCAATGCTGGTGGCACAACAGAGTACAGAACTGCCACCACCAGGTCCAGAGACAGTGAGATAGAGGGGGACTTCAGGTAGGCAAATATGGTCATGCTGAGAAACAGGGAGACCACTGCCAGGTGAGGGAGACACGTGGAAAAGGCTTTGTACTGTCCCTGCTCAGAGGGCATCCTCAGTACAGCCCTGAAAATCTGCACATAGGACAGCACAATGAAAACAAAACACCCAGATGCTAAACAGAATCCAACCATAATAATCCAAACTTTCCTGAGGTAGGAGTTTGAGCAGGAGAGCTTGATGATCTCGGGGATTTCACAGAAGAACTGGTCCACAGCATTGCCTTGGCAAAGTGTCAGAGAAAACACATTAGCAGTGTGCAGCGCAGCATGGAGAAATCCACTGCCCCAGGCAGCTGCTGCCATCTGGGCACAAGCTCTGCTGCCCAGGAGGGTCTCGTAGTGCAGGGGCTTGCAGATGGCAACATAGCGGTCATAGGACATGACAGTGAGAAGATAATATTCTGCTGAAAAGAAAAAGAAGAAGAAAAAGACCTGTGCAGCACATCCTGAGTAGGAAATGGCCCTGGTATCCCAGAGGGAATTGGCCATGGCTTTGGGGACAGTGGTGGAGATGCAGCCCAGGTCGAGGAGGGCAAGGTTGAGGAGGAAGAAGTACATGGGGGTGTGAAGACGGTGGTCACAGGCTACGGCGGTGAGGATGAGGCCGTTGCCCAGGAGGGCAGCCAGGTAGATGCCCAGGAAGAGTGCGAAGTGCAGGAGCTGCAGCTCCCATGTGTCTGCGAATGGCAGGAGGAGGAACTCAGTGCTGGAGCTGCTGTTGGACATTTGACTCTTCTGGGCCTGGGGACCAGTCTGAGGAGGAAAATAAAGCAAAATGTTAGGCTAGACCATGTGAGCAAAATGTACTCTAATTCTTGTTACACCTCAAGACTGCTGCTACCCTTTCAGGAAAATCTATATCGCAGATGCCTTGCTGGTTCTAGTTGGTGCTGCCAGAGGGTGCTGCTGGGAGCAGGGGACTCTGGAAGTCCTTGGCATTACTGCTGCACTCCAGGTGAAATCTTGTGGGTCCTGTGAGGCAATGACTCTGTCCTTGAGATCAGAGTGAGCGAAGTAATCTGGGTATGGAGAGCTGTATGAGGAGGAAAAAACAGGAAAACATTAGGACAGAACACTGTGATCAAACCCACTCCATTTCTTGTACAAACCTCCCAGACTGCCTCTCCCCTTTCAGGAACACCTTTGCAGGTCCCTTTCATGAGCTGTGGTCGGTGCTGGTTGATGGCGCCACTGGGATGAGAAGGGCTCTCGAGGAGGCAGTCCTGCCCTCCACAGTTAGGTAAATGAGAACATGGGCTGTTCTTGGATTAAATACAGATGAGATATCAAACTATTTTCTCTGTTCTTGTGAAAACCCACCATCCAGACTCCAGTGTGTTTTTTAAAGTTTCTGCACCTCATCTAAGAGGTTCCTTTTAGGTATATATCATTGGTGTTTGTCCTGCCCACCCATGGAAATCTTGGAGGTCCCAAAAGGCAAAGGTCACACTCAGGTGTTCCCCTGAATAGAGCCTTAATGCTGCTGAGAGCACAGGAATCCATTTTCAAAGAGCAGACCTCTTAACCCCTCACCCATATCATCATATCTGAGGAGGATCTTAGCTCTCTGCCTTTCACCACGGACACAGAAGGGTCATAGCAGCTGCCCATATACAACCATTCAGCAACATTTCTACAGCCTTAGGACTGACATGTCTTCTCCATGGGGCTGCTAGATAACACAGGGTTGCTAGGGCAGAGCTGAGCCTTCTGCAAGGATATATGCAGCCCAGCAGAAGCCCCATGTAAAGAGTCAAATTTCCTTAGATGTGGTGTCCTGAAGGGCGAGTCAGCTCCTTCTCCACACACAGCATTTTGCCGAGACTCAACAGTTAGGAGGGAACATGGATGCCTTTTATTCATAGCATATCTGAGTGATAGGAACATCATCACCAGTTTTTGAGCCGCACACAAATTCTCATACCCAAAAGACTAGTTAGTCAAAAGAATCTCATGATATTATTATTAGATGAGAAAAGAAACTAAGGAGTTTGTATGAAGAAGGTGTTGGCAGGGCAAGTGCCCAAATCCAGCCTCCCATCTTGCTGCTGGGAGCAGCTCCTTCTCACTCCCTGCCCATGGCTCTACTGCCTGCAGCTTTCCCTGCCTGCAGCTGGGTCTCTGTCCCCACGCCTCCTGCCTGAAGCTCTCAGCCCCCATCCCACCCGCTGGGTGCTCAGCTCTGCCCTGCAGACACCTCCTGGCAGCAGGGCTCTGCCCAGGGGCAGCTCGCTGGGGACATGTCCTAGAGCCCAGGTCACACAGACCCTGCTGACACTATGTAAGGGGTGATGGTGGAGCTTTCTAGGGGCTGAGAGGCAGGAAAGGGTGTTTCTGGGGATTCTTCTAAACCTCCTTCTGATGGCGTATGAGTCTTAGGCTCCTCCTGGAAATAACAGCTTCTATTTCTATTCCCAGTGAGCTAAAAGAAGAGAAAACTGAAAGCAGAGCCTAAGGAAAGATGAGAGTGAAGTTCCCTTTGAAATTCTCTTGGTGTGCTGTGGATCTGTGAGCAGGCTGCCCCAGGCAGCAGCCTCCCACCAGCAGCAGGACCCTGCCATGCCGGGGGGCTCCTTCCACCCGCAGCTTCTCCCCGCAGCGCCCTGGGCAGCTCCCCAGGCAGGCTGAGTGCTGAGCCTGGCAGGCGGCAGAGGCCCTGCCCCGGCACACAGCCCCTGGGGCACAGCAGGGACCCTGCTCTGCACCACAGCCCTGGACACCCCTGCCTGCACGCCCGGCTTCTCCTGCCTCCACGAACTGCGGCTGCATTGCCCTCCAGCCAGACACTTACCGGGTGCAGGGCTGGGAAGTCTTCTCCCCCGGTGAGCTCTGGGCATGCTGCCACTTCTGCCTGCCTTTAAGCACTGTGTCTCTGCAGGCTGTGCCCCCAGGCCTGCTGCGCTGTGCAGAGGAGCTGCTCCTGGGCAGAGCTGTCTTTCTGCAGCGCTGCCCGCTTGCCAGGAGCTCCCCTTGGGCCCAGGAGCCCGGCACAGCTCAGCAGCAGAGGCCCAGCCCAAGGCCTCCCTTGCTCTGCCCCCCACCAGGCTCCCTGCACATGGTCCTGGGGCTGCAGGGGAACCTGCTGGGAAACAGCCTGAAGGAATCCCTTGGGTTCCCTTCCTCACATGGCACATACACTTCTTGACAGCAGGCTCATTTCTCCTTACAGAACACCAATTAAGTGTAACAATCACATTTTCTTGTCCCAGTATCAGTTTGGACATGAAGTCATGGTCAGGGACTGATCTCCTTCATCCCCACTTCAGGAAATAATTCAGCAGTCAGTCAAGGCATCTCATGCTGGTTGTTATTCCTGGGGCTGGAAAGGGATCTCAGCTCCCTCCCATATCTGCCACAGACCCACAGGAGCTGGGATTCCTCAGGCCTCAGTTCAGGTGTCCACAACATAGGCACCTTAATGCGAATTATTGAGCCACAATAGCTCCTTAGTGGAGATAGAAGACAGGCAGGAACTGATCAGATGGAAATACCTGCTGAAATTTGAGGTTAATCCTCTGGGAATCTGATGGGGCATTCCTCAGGCCAACTGAAATGGCAGCAGATGCCACATGTAGGACAACTGAACCTGTCCCTACTCCTTATGTGTAGGTCAGCCTGCAGAGGCTGTCAGCAGAGCAAAAGGAGTCATGTGTCACAGGCAAAGCTAAACCTATTCTGTTCTCTTTTAAATGTTCTCTTTTTTCTTTTCTCTTCTACACGGCCCTTGGCTGAAATGGCTGTTGTGTCTCGGTCATCTCCACAGGCCTCAGCTCTCACCAGCCAGGTCTCCCTACCATTTGTGCCTTGAGGCAGGACTCTGGAGGGGTACAACAGGTCATCAGTGAGGATAAAATCAGTGGTTACTTTGCAAACTACACCCTTATCAGTCCATGGGACCTGCATCCAAGGCCCCTGTGTGAGCGATGTGACATCAGCGATGTGACCACAGCGATGTGACCTCAGCGCGGGAACCTCAGCGATGTCACGTGAGCGCGGGAACATCAGCGCGGGAACCTCAGTGATGTGAGCTCAGCGCGGGAACCTCAGCAATGTGACCTCAGCGCGGGAACCACAGCGTTGTGACCTCAGCGCGGGAACCTCAGCGTGGGAACCTCAACAGTGTGACCTCACAGCGGGAACCTCAGCAATGTGACCTCAACGATGTGACCTCAGCGCGGGAACCTCAGCGCTGTGACCAAAGCGTGGGAACCTCAGCGATGTGACTTCAGCACGGGAACCTCAATGCGGAAACCTCAGAGATGTGACCTCAGCTATGTGACCTCAGCGCGGGAACTTCAGCGATGTGATATCAGCGCGGGAACCTCAGCTCTGTGACCTCAGCTCTGTGACCTCAGCGCGGGAACCTCAGTGATGTGACCTCAGCGCGGGAACCTCAGCGATGTCACCTAAGCGATGGGACCCCAGCGCGGGCACCTCAGCGCGGGAACCTCAGCGATGTGACCTCAGCGTGGGAACCTCAGCGCGGGAACCTCAGCTCTTTGACCTCAGGGTGGGAACCACGGCGCTGTGACCTCAGCGCGGGAACCTCAGCGTGGGGACCTCAGCACTGTGACCTCAGCGCGGGAAGCTCAGCGTGGGAACCTCAGCAGTGTCACGTCAGCGTGGGAACCTCAGCGTAGGAACCTCAACAGTGTGACCTCACAGTGGGAACCTCAGTGATGTGACCTCAGTGCCGGAACCTCAGCGATGTCACATAAGCGTGCGAACCTCAGCACGGGAAACTCAGTGATGTGAGCTCAGCGCGGGAACCTCAGCGTTGTGACCTCAGCGATGTGACCGCACCACGGGAACCTCAGCGATGTGACCTCAGTGCCGGAACCTCCGGGATGTCACCTAAGCGCGGAAACCTCGGCCGGGGAACCTCAGCGCTGTTAGCTCAGCGCAGGAATCTCAGCGATGCGACCTCAGCGCGGGAAACTCAGCGCAGGAATCTCAGCAATGTGACCTCAGCGTAGGAACCTCAGCGCTGTGACCTCAGTGAGGGAACCTATACAATGTGACCTCAACGCGGGAACCTCTGCGTGGGTACCTCAGCAGTGTGACCTCAGCGCGGGAACCTAAGAACTGTGAGCTCAGTGCGGGAACCTCAGCGCGGGAACCTCAGCGCTGTGACCTCAGCGTGGGAACCTCAGCGATGTCACCTAAGCGATGGGACCCCAGCGCGGGAACCACAGCGATGTGACCTCAGCGCGGGAACCTCAGCGTAGGAACCTCAACAGTGTGACCTCACAGCGGGAACCTCAGCAATGTGACCTCAACGATGTGACCTCAGCGCGGGAACCTCAGCGCTGTGACCAAAGCGTGGGAACCTCAGCGATGTGACCTCAGCACGGGAACCTCAACGCGGGAACCTCAGAGATGTGACCTCAGCTATGTGACCTCAACGCGGGAAACTCAGTGATGTGACCTCAGCGCGGGAACCTCAGCTCTGTGACCTCAGCTCTGTGACCTCAGCTCTGTGACCTCAGCGCGGGAAACTCAGCGATGTGACCTCAGCGTGGGAACCTCAGCGATGTCACCTAAGCGATGGGACCCCAGCGCGGGCACCTCAGCGCGGGAATCTCAGCGATGTGACCTCAGCGTGGGAACCTCAGCGCGGGAATCTCAGCTCTGTGACCTCAGGGCGGGAACCTAAACAATGTGAACTCAGCGCGGGAACCTCAGCGTGGGAACCTCAGCACTGTGACCTCAGCGCGGGAACCTCAGCGTGGGAACCTCAGCAGTGTCACGTCAGCGTGGGAACCTCAGCGTGGGAACCTCAACAGTGTGACCTCACAGTGGGAACCTCAGTGATGTGACCTCAGTGCCGGAACCTCAGCGATGTCACATAAACTTGGGAACCTCAGCACGGGAAACTCAGTGATGTGAGCTCAGCGCGGGAACCTCAGCGTTGTGACCTCAGCAATGTGACCGCACCACGGGAACCTCAGCGATGTGACCTCAGTGCCGGAACCACAGGGATGTCACCTAAGCGCGGAAACCTCGGCCGGGGAACCTCAGCGCTGTGAGCTCAGCGAGGGAACCTCAGCGTTGTGATATCAGCGCGGGAACCTCAGCGCGGGAACATCAGCGATGTGATATCAGCGCGGGAACCTCAGCGCAGGAATCTCAGCGATGTCAAATAAGTGATGGGACACCAGCGCGGGAACCTCAGCGATGTGACAAAAGCGTGGGAACCTCAGCGCGGGAACCTCAGCTCTGTGACCTCAGCGTGGGAACCTAAACAATGTGATCTCAGCGCGGGAACCTCAGCGTCGGAACCTCAGCAGTGTCACATCAGCGCGGGAACCTCAGCGTAGGAACCTCAACAGTGTGACCTCACAGCGGGAACCTCAGCAATGTGACCAAAGCGTGGGAACCTCAGTGATGTGACCTCAGCGATGTGACCTCATCGCGGGAACGTCAGCGACGTGACCAAAGCGTGGGAACCTCAGCGATGTGACCTCAGCACGGGAACCTCAGCGCAGGAACCTCAGCGATGTGACCTCAGCTATGTGACCTCAGCACGGGAACCTCAGTGATGTGACCTCAGCACGGGAACCTCAGCGTG